ACAAAGATAATCTGTTACCTTCTCTCGGCCATATACTTCTTGTGTTATCCATGCATGTTATATCGAACATCATATTCCTCACGTGCAGTTTCTACATTTTCGTTTTACGTTTCACTTTCTTCCACGTGTTCATCATGCTTTGCGGCAACCCCAGATAAATTCTAAATGAGGACTTTATATGGCGGCTTTAGGATTCTTTAACTGCTTTCGCATTAAGTTCCTCATTTTCCTACACGTGCAGTTTCCTAACCTTTTATACCACATTTCACCTTTTACGGCTAGATTGCTTGCTTGCTGCTTTCGTCAATGTTTGTTAGAAATATGTCGGTTCTTGTTTTCTTTTCTGCCCTCATCACTAACTTTCTAGATTCGAATCTCATTTGTTGACGTCATAACTGCACACGATTTTCTTCCTCTGACCAATGTTATTATTAAAACTTAAAAAGTGAAAGAACCCCTGGAAAAAAAAAAAAATGTTAGATCACATCACACCTCCACCTCCCTCCTAATTTTCTTTATTCACAATATTCAAATTTCTTGATAAATTTGTTATTAATANAAAAAAAAAAAAAAAAACTCATGGGCACTAGATTCCCATCTCATCAGCTAAGCAATGGGCTCTTTGTATCGGGCTTACCCGAGCAACCTAAAGAGAAAACACCAACTATGAGCTCAGTGGCCGTGCCTTACACCGGTGGAGACATAAAAAAATCGGGCGAGCTCGGTAAAATGTTCATCATCCCTCCAGATGGCTCCAAATCCAGAAAGTCCGGGCCCATCACAACCCATTCTGGGCCCATTTCAACCCATCACTCTGCAGCCCGAGCTAGCTACTCCACCTCGGGCCCCGTTTCTGGCTTGTCGGGCTCGGCCTCCATGAAAAAATCAAACTCTGGGCCTCTGACCAAGCACGGTGAGCCCATTAAGAAATCTTCGGGCCCGCAGTCCAACTCCGGCCCGCTGGCCCCTGTACTTCCCACAACAGGCCTTATAACTTCCGGGCCCATCTCGTCTGGCCCAATAAACCAGTCTGGGGCCCTGAGGAAGGCTTCCGGGCCCTTGGACATGAGCGGGCCCATGAAGAACCTGGCTGTGACAACTCTTGGTCAGGAGAAGAAGCACTCGTTCGTGAAGAACCTCCCGAGAGCTATTTTGTGGGCAGTTGTAATGCTTTTCGTGATGGGCTTTATTGCTGGGGGATTTATCCTTGGCGCGGTTAATAATGCTATTCTTCTAGTTGCTGTGTTCGTTCTGTTCGTTTTAGTGGCTGCTTTGTTCGTTTGGAATTTGTTCTGGGTGAGAAAGGCTGTGATTGGATACATTGCTAGCTATCCGGATTCCGAGCTCAGAACTGCTAAAAATGGACAATTCGTCAAAGTCACCGGAGTACGCATCTATTTTTTTTTTTAATTTTAATATATGGTTCTCTTCTTGTCGATTATATTCTTACATGCATGCAAACCGTCATTACTTTTGAACGTAACTCGAATAATAATCTAACATATTGTGATTTTTTTGTGATCTAATTTTTTCTTTTTCGACTCTGAGGATTGTATATGTTTATTTCGAAGGTGGTCACGTGTGGAAATGTTCCTCTGAAGTCCTCCTTCCAGAACTTTCCGAGATGTGTGTTCACTTCTACAAGCTTGTACGAGTACAGAGGATGGAGTTCCAAGCCCGCAACTCCTACTCACTGTCGTTTCACATGGGCACTTCGATTTTCAGAGGTTTAATCACAATCTCGTTCACTTTTTATTTTTATTTTTTATTTTTTTTGCAATTTGTTATCGACAAGAGACACTTATTTTTGACAAGCTTCACAACATTGGGACAATAATTGCACAGATTGCACCCAAATTTTATCCTAATAAGGAAACCACAAATCTCCCTTCAGTTATTATTACAAAACACCCCCTTGATATTTGTATTAGCCTTAAGTCCTACAAAAAGAGAAAAATTTTTACTTGAAAAAATTATCCGAGTCCACTTATATCATCTTGTCTTGACAAAATGACATGCTTAAATAAATCGATACTGCTAGCAATTACGATTCAATTTGAAGCTGAAGTGCCTTACATTACATAATCATTATTCCTTGTTCGAAAATGCTGAATTTTCTTTTTCTTGTTTCGTTTTTTCCCCTCCTTTTTTGCAGAAACATGCTGTCGATTTTTACATATCTGATTTCCAGTCTGGTCTGAGGGCATTGGTTAAAGCTGGGTACGGTTCACACGTAACTCCATATGTAGATGAAAATGTTGCCATAAATGTTGATCCTTCAAAAAACGACACTTCTCCCGAGTTTATCCGTTGGTTGGGAGAGAGAAATCTCACTCTCGAGGATCGTTTAATGCGACTTAAAGAAGGGTAAGTAATAATATTGATCATCTAATGNCTATCGTTTTAGTTTATATTTATTTTTTATTTTTATTTTTTTGAGTAGGTATATCAAGGAAGGAAGCACTGTGAGTGTGATGGGCATCGTTCAAAGGAATGAAAACGTGCTGATGATAGTGCCTCCAAACGAGCCCTTCACAACCGGATGCCAGTGGACCAAATGTACATTACCAGCTAGTTTTGATGGACTTGTTTTAAGGTGTGAGGACTCGTCAAATGTTGATGTTATACCCGTGTGATATTCAAAAGTCTCGAACGAGTCTCTCTAATCGTATAGAAGTTTCTGCTGTTGGAAATGTGGTGTTTGGCAAATTATGGGGCAAAACAGTTTAAAGCCCTTTTTTTTTTTATATATATATACTTTATTTTTTTTGTTCTTTCTTGTTCTTCTTCAGATGCTGTGTAAGACTGTTTTGTGCTCTTTTTTTTGTACAGTATTTTGGATTCTGAAAGGTTTGGTATGGGTTTAGTTTGTTTGTTGCTGTAAATTTTATGTTATTGTGGTTTTATGTGTTGGTTTTTGCAGGGAATGAAAACAAAGTATTCTTCAGACTTCAGGCATGCTTTTGATTTTTATCTTTTATCCATTTTTAGGAGTTTTAATTACACACCCACTTACTTATGCTATGACTTTATTTTGAAAGTTAGCTATTTTTCATATTATATAGTTTAAATTTATTATTGTTCTACTATCTCTGATTTGATGTTAGTTATGTGGGTGAAGAATATTAAATTAATGTATCAATTGAAAAAAATAATAAAAGAAATTATCCATTAAGCCAATCTTATGAAACATTATATGACATGTAATAAAGGAGTGTTATTTTAATTTAAAATTATAATAATTATACAATATATGAATAATATTTGAAAATCTTAAATAAAATATTTCTACCTTATTCGTGTAAAGCTTTTTTATGCATACTTTTTCAAATTATAATGAAGAGTAAATAAAGTATATATTAATCAGCGATAATATTGATATCCTATATTTAACGAGTTAGAAAAATTGTATCATTTGATAATCTATAAAAATACTGATCTTACCATTTGAAAGAATATTAATAATCTAACTTTTGAAGAAGTAATTAATATTTGGAAGAAAACATTTGCCTACTTGGATGATATCTTGGGTTACAACTCAAGTGTAAAGGTATTATCAAAAAATTAAAAAAATATTGTATTTATATTTGAATTGTAACTCAAGTTTGTCGTTCAAATTAACTATGTAGCATTACTCTATTTTTTATGCATATATTTTTTAGGTTGGTAGGACTATCTGTCTTTACCTGCTATCTTGATGTCAAACTGCCCTATTTAGTACCAAGTATACATAGAGCTGTTAAAATAAATGTGCCGACTTTCGATAGTGAATTTGGCTCATTGAAGTTCGACTCCTTTGATAAACAGGTGAGTTAGAACTTAGAACTCACTGAAAATTCGTTTCGTAAACGATCCGAAGTCGTTTAATAAACAAGCTTATTGAGATTTGACTCGACTCAGTTTAATAAATGAGGTGAGTTAAACTCACACGTTCGTTTAGCTAATGAAGCGCTAGTTAGTTAAACAAGCTGAATTATGGTATTATAGAAAATTAGAAAAAGGGAATTTGGGAATCTATCTATATCTATATCAAAAGAATAACCATTTATTAAAAATAGTAGCAAAAAAGTCAATGAGCATTTAATGCATACTTTATTTGAAAAATTTTAAATATATGCATTAATTGCTTTATTGATATCCATTATAATAAACTATAATTTGATTTTTTGTGATTGGTGTTGATAATATTTTGGTCAAGATTTATCTTAACCATATTATTAATGTTTTTCCACAAATGTTGCCTTTCATTCTAAAATATTTATAAACAATCATGTTGAATAAATCGCCGTCTAACTGATTAGCCGAAATCAAGTTGGTGAATTAATATTTTTTGATAATATTTTTTAACCTTTATTTAATTATATAAACAAATATTTTTTTAAATTAAAATAATTTACCATTTAAGAGACAATGATCACATCATTAAATAATTTATTAATGGCCAAATAATAAAATTAAAATATATTAACTATTCTTTACAGTTTCAACATTTGATTTATTTGTATGTTATTGTCAACCATGATAATTTTATCATTTTTTTTATTTTTATTTGTTTCCATAATGAATTTATTGTAAAAGATATATTTATATTGCATAGTATGTTAAATAAACTAATAAAGTTTTAGGATGCAAATTAGAAAAATCTCTTGATTATGTAAGGGTTTATTATTTGACAATTGTCTAAATCAAATTTTTTTAATTATTATGAGAAAATTAAATTCTAAAAAACATGTGTGTGTATTTTGTAAACATTTATACACAAAATTTTATTTTAAACTTCATTACATAAACTAAGAAGAAGAAGACTATTTCTATAACTTTTGTAAATAATAATAATGATATTATATGACAACAAATATTATAATAAAATAATAATTGAATATTAAATGGTGAACAAGAATAAGCATAATTTTTTTTTCTTATAACGATGAATAAATATATATTGTAGAATCAAATCAATATTAGTATAACATGTCAGCAGAATGATATATTAATTAACATGTCAACGTGATGACTAAAATAAATATCACTGATTGAAAGAAGTAGAAAATTAATGATCCAATACTATTATTTTTTGCCAAAGCGTACAAATCCTATAGAAATGACTCAATTAATATATGTGTCTCGTGCATCGGGCTCTAACTAGTTTGCTGTGAAAATACAAAATTATACTGTTAAAAACCGCCATTGATAACTCCCACTCTCTCTCTCTCTCTTTTCCTTTGTGATTCGCTTGGTGAAATTTTATCGAACTGCCTGAGTGAAAAATCTGGTAAGATAGTTAAACATGAATTAGTGAGTAAGTTGATCAATGGCGAAGGCAAAACCTAAGACAATCGGATTTGTGTTGGTGATTGTGGGGCTTATGGGATTGTTTCTCATAGCACATCTGATCTGGGCTTCATCATCTTTCTCTCCTTCAAATTGGGCTCTCAAAGATTCGAACAATTTCGAGGTTCCAAACCCTGTTCACAGAAGTAATAGCTCGCTCGACGCTCCAGATAAGGTCTGTGAATTTCTTGGTTTTGGCTCACTCTACTCGAGAATTTTGTTAATTTTCACTAGGTTCCAATCAATTTGCGTGGCTTGTATTGTGTGCTGGATCTGATCTGATACCTCAATGCCGTGCTTTTGTTATCATGTAGTAACATATTAGTACTTAGCATCATAATTGTTCTTCCTAGGCTTGAACAAAATCAAAACTCAGCTTCTGGGAAGGTGTTATAAGTGAAAATGATGGTTAAATTATGAAGCAATAGGCAGAAAAGAATCGTTTCTAGCTTTGTAGTGTGCTTTCCATGTTTTGTTGGCTTGATATGAGTGGATGATGGATTGTCTGTTCATTTGGAGTTAAGTATTGGTATGGTTTTCTCAACTCTCTTTTCTGACAGGTGACACCTGAACAAGATAAGAAGGGTACCTTCTCGAGTAGGGTTTTATCAGCAACATTTGCCGATTTGCCAGCTCCCGAGTTGAAATGGGAGAAGATGGAAACAGCACCAGTGCCTCGTCTGGATGGTGCAGCTATACAAATAAAGAATCTTCTTTATGTTTTTGCTGGATATGGGACCATTGATACTGTGAGTAACATTGTTTGACCTGTTATACGTTATCTATGCATGTGATGCTTGAGTTTTTGTCATTCAAGATAGTGCTTATATATCAATTATCCTGTTTTGGGTTGATCTTTAGTAACTATCATAACTGCTGATGTTACTTGTTAGAATGTAGAACAGATGGATAAAGGACTATGATTAAATGATACTATTGATATCCAACATGTTGTGGATACACTGCTCTATTAGCTCAGATTGTCACTAAATGACACGATACAATGTTATGATGCTAGGGTAACCTCTTATTGGAAGACAATATTGTGTCTTTGTTTCATTTTGTGTATATTTTCCTTTCTTTTCTCTTTTTCCCAATTTCAGTTTGATTGAGAAAGCTGATGGCCCTAGAATGTTATATTTTCTTTAATTCATGTGATGAATTAAAGCACATAAACCGATGTTACTTGTTAGAATGTAGAGCAGATGGATAAAGGACTATGATTAATGATACTATCAATATCCAACATGTTGTGGATACACTGCTCTATTAGCTCGGAGTTGTCACTAAACATTGGAAGACAATATTGCGTCCTTGTTTCATTTTGTATATTTTCCTTTCTTTTCTATTTCTCCTAATTTCTGTTTGTTTGAGAAAGCTGATGGCCCTAGTATGTTATATTTTCTTTAAGGTGCATTCTCATGTTGATATATACAATTTCACCAATAACACCTGGAGTGGAAGGTTTGACATGCCAAAAGAAATGGCTCATTCGCATTTAGGCATGGTGACAGATGGAAGATACATTTATGTGGTTACTGGACAGTATGGACCTCAATGTAGAGGGCCCACAGCACACACATTCGTATTGGACACTCAGACACATCAGTGGAAGGACCTGCCACCTTTACCAGTCCCAAGGTATCGTTTGGATACAAATATATCCGCTCAAAACGAGTTTTTTTTTATTAACAAGAGTTAATTTTGAAAAAGGGGTAGATATGGTTAGTTGTTCGTGAGATTTTGAGTTTATATTAAAATTATATTTAAAATAAATAATTAAAGTTGATTTGATGTAAAAGTAAGAGACAGGTGATGTGAAGTGATGGTTAGTTAAAATTATGCGAGTGGATGAATAGTGAAATTAAAGTTGGTGTGATGTGTAAGAATGATTGATTGATATTATTTAATTATATTGATAATATTGAGGATAGTGGAGTTGGGTTAAAGTTGAGATTTTGAGTATGAATTGAGTTATTTTATAAACAAACACACCCTTAGTGTGTGTTATTTTGTATGTTCCTTCTTATCTTCATATGCTGTTGTCTCTCAATACTAGAATTGGTACGCTTTCGTCTTCTTGTCCATTCTGTTAGATCATAGTGTAGATTCATCAATTTTCGATGAATTTATCGTGTTTTCCAATCATTTTTACGATTTCTATTAATCGTGAAACATTAGCTTCTAATTTTTTATTTTATTTTATTTTTTTGTTTCATTTGAAGAATGCTCCTTATACTATATTAGATTACTGGGGAATTTGAGACCTCTTGTTAGGAATAATAGCATACTAGCTGTAAATAAGTGAATGCATATGCTAAACTCAATAGCATGGCTTGCTTGTGTTATATATTAGAGAGAAATTTGATCTGATAGTGCATAGTTTCAACTGAACTTATCGTGGTAAATTTGATCAGGTATGCCCCAGCCACCCAACTTTGGAGAGGCCGACTTCATGTAATGGGTGGTAGCAAAGAGAATAGGCATACGCCTGCTTTAGAGCATTGGAGCATAGCTGTAAAAAATAGTAAAGTTTTAGAAAACGAATGGAGATCTGAAATTCCCATTCCTCGTGGTGGACCTCACAGGTTTGTATGCTTTTCCATTCCAAAGTAACTTTGCTCCTTTCAGCACTTAGAGCCTGTTTATATTATATTTTGCTTATATATTGAACCAACCAGTTGCAATTAATTCCTCACTCATAACCTAGTCATGGAGGGTTTGGGCTCTAGGGGGATGCCTGGATATAAGAGTTTTGGTTTGGTTTCGTTTGGTTAATTTTGAAAAATGTGGTATGGTTAGTTGTTAGTGGGTATATTTAAATAATATTTAAAATAAAATAATTAAAGTTTATTTGATGTAAAAGTAAGAGAGAGATGATGTGAAGTGATTGTTAGTTAAAATTATGAGAGTTGTTGTGGTGTGTTGTTGTTGTTGTTGTTGTGGTGTGCAAGAATGATTGATTGATATTTTTTAATTTTATTGATAATATTGATGATAGTAGAGTTGAGTTAAAAAAGTGGTTGGGTTACAAATGTTTAGATTTTTTGGAGAATTTTTGTATCCAAGCATAACAGTTTTATTTGTGTATTTGAAGGTAAATATAACGGTGTAGTCTAATACCTTCACTGATATAGCAGCATATACCACGCAGATTGTAGCAATTTAAAGATATTAAGTCCATCGATTGCATATTCTTCATTTTATTATAAAAATCCTACTATACACCGACCACCCATTTTATGAGCAATAACGTTTCCTACATTATAGATAAACTTCCTCAGAAGAGACATTTCTTGCAATTTCTTTGAAAATCATCATTTGCTTCGAGCAGATATCCCACATCTAACACTCAGTAATCAGTATGCATATGAATACAAGTTCACGAACCATTAGCTTTGAAGATACCTTTTTACAGTTTGACACCATTAAAGTCACACTAATTTATTATTATTATCTTTTTTAATAAAAAACAATTCAATGTAGGGCTTGTGTTGTGTACGATGACCGTTTATATGTTATTGGCGGTCAAGAGGGTGATTTTATGGCCAAACCAGGCTCTCCAATATTCAAATGCTCACGTCGTAATGAGGTAATAATCCAGTTCCAGTTTTTTAATAAATCGGTCAGTTGAATACTTTTTGCCAGCATATATTACTATATTGTTGCCGAGTTAGATTTTCATGGTTCGTATTTGCTATCATAGAACTTACAATTGCAAAAGGAGCTAATGTTGGTATTTTTTACAGGTTGTATATGGTGATGTGTACATGCTAGACGATGATATGAAGTGGAAAGTGTTGCCCTCTATGCCGAAGCCCGATTCTCATATCGAGTTTGCTTGGGCAATTTTTAGCAGCTCGATTATCATTGTTGGAGGCACCACGGAGAAACATCCCGTGACCAAAAAAATGATTTTAGTTGGAGAAATATTCCGGTTCGACTTTGATACACTGGTAATCTTCGTAACTCAATATAATTTAATATAATTTTATTTTATTTTTTATATATTTACATGATATTTTTAATAAAAAATCTAAAATATAAAAATTATTTTATTTTATTTTTTTATTTTTGAGTTCAAACGAGTTCGAACAAACAAATTTCGAGGTAATCAAACATATTAAAAAAAATTATGTCCTAAATTGTTCGAACACAAACAGATTCGAACTTTGACGAACAATTAAATGAACGAGTTTGAACACGATTTTTACCTCGAAAAATAAACGAACGAACACGAGCTCGAAACGCCCAAGCTCGATTTGTTCGGTTCGATTACAGCACTACTTCTTGGTTTTTATCCCACTTCAATACATCAAAAGTCTCGTTGGCTCTGTATTAACGGCATTATATTTGCTTGTTGATTTGAAAAAAATGACAGAAGTGGAGTGTGATCGGGAAGCTTCCATATCGGGTAAAAACGACACTAGTTGGGTTTTGGGATGGAATGTTGTATTTTACATCGGGCCAACGAGACAGAGGGCCCGATAATCCTGCACCGAAGAAGGTGATTGGGGAGATGTGGAGAACAAAGCTTATTTTGTGAGCATATTTTGTTTATTTTCATTTGGTAGATAGCAATATGCCAGTGTAACAAATTCATTAGCCTATTCTTTTTATCCTTTTATTCTTCCATCTTTTCACTGTGTAGTTTAAATGTTTTCACCTCCAGAGTCGCACCTTCTTTGTATTAGTTTGAATATTACTTGATAGTGTTGCATTNTATTCAGACGCACAAATTTTCCCCATAACTTCTTGGTTAAAATCGTCTTTAGACTTTCAGAAGTTTTACAAATTGAAAATGGAATAAATATACCCGTATTGATATGAAAAGTGATTGGTTAAAAATATTGAGGATAGAGAAATTGAATTATAAAAAATAATTGGTTAAAATTGATTGATTTTCTTGAAAAAAAATTGTATCAAAGATGCACCAAGAAATCTACCAAAGTAAAGTCGAATTCAAACTACAGACAATAACATCTTTATTAGCAGCACACACGAATTTAACGTGGCTAATATAATCAACGATTGGAACTTTCACATTGGCATCACAAAAGATCAAAACCACGAAGAAATGGTAGGTCTTATTGTAGCTCGTCTAATAATTCGACAGTCATACTTTTCAATTAATATACTTTTATATTCAAACTAGTGTATACCCCGTGCGATGCACGGAAACAATATTAAATTAATAATATTATAAATAGACCTCGAGTTTGAGTCACTCAATGACGGAATGACGGAAGTGGAAACTACTATTGTTCCTATTTAAAAAGAGAAAGCAAAAAAAATAATTATAAATTAAAGAGGAGGATAAACAATACTTAATAATTATAAATTAAAGATTTGGGGTCAAACAATGTAAAATTATTTTGTATAAGAGAATATAAAAAAATTTGATTACACACCATTTCAAAATTATTATTATACTTTTTTGTATGGTTAGCTTATAATATTTGTAAAAATATTAGTAATTAGACCGATGAAAATTAGCTTCTTAAAGTAGATAATGGATTTCCAGTAGTAATTATGAATTAGTTTCTATTTTATTTTATTTTTTCTTTTTAAAAATAATGGATTTCTAGTGATAATTATGAATTGGTTTCTATTTTATTTTATTCTTTTAAATCTGTATAGATAAGGGATGAGATTTTTTAAACACGTGAGATCGTATGCAATGAGATTTTGTAACAGAAGAGATAAGTGTGTAGATTTATACTAAAAATAGGAAAAAGAAAAACAAATATTTATTGTCAAACAACGGTTTTGATAAACTAAAAAAAATGAGCCGATTTTTTGCCTATTCAGATTTGTCCAACAATTACTATATTAGGATATATTTAATGATTTTGGCGGAAAAAAGTTTCTAAATTTGTAAAAAGGTTATTCTTTTTATATAATGATAGATGTTATATTTTTAAATAAAAATATAAACGAAAATATGACACTTCATATTATAAATATACATTTTTAAAAAAAAAATATGGAGTCTCAATGTTAAGTAGCCTAACAGCAACAACCAACGAGTGGTGGGCCCCACTTGACTGCAAAATGCATCAATATAGAAACTTACCAGGGAACTACAAACCTAGAATCATTCTCATACATGTATCAAGAAATTAGAATTTATTACATAATGCCCCGAGAAATCATCACAAGGCCACTCATCATTCATCAAACAAAAAAACTACTGTGACATATCTCGAGGAGTCAAATTCTGGTTATCAAATATTCAAACATAAACAAGTCCCTTAATATAATATGTAGCTCATGCAATTTCATGCACAGTAACTCTTAGCAAATCTAATAAAAGTTACAAACACAGCTTTCATTTTCACAGTCATTCTACAATTAAACCAAACTGCATTTTTTTCTCATTATTGCAAACTGGGTATTCGGCCTCTATCGATTATTTTCCAAAGCGCTTTCTTTGCCTCGTCTAGTGTTTCAACACCCCGAGTTTCTTCAAATGAAATCCTCTGAACATTAAACTGCAAAACCCACAAAGCAAATGTCAAAAACTCGCTTAAAGTCCCATTATTATTATTATTATTATGTTAATGAAAAACCTGGACGCCTTGGCGGGCCCGAACATCAACTCCTTTACTGTCGATGGATATAAGAGCAGCATCATCTACCTCAGCTTCCTTGGACAAAAGCTCTTTCAGAGGCTTTGAAAAAATTGCATTTAGTTCCTATAGCAAAACAGCATATAAGATTCCCTCAATAAGAAGAAAAAATATCATCAAAATAGAAGCACAAACTGTTCTATTAGTATATACCTTTAAATTCTGTTCACCTCCATCAACGGCAATCTTATCGGGTTGAATGGTTTCATATTCTTTGAGATCAACCCAAGCAACAGTCCCAAAGCCTCCAATGAAATATATATCACTGTGAAAAAGCAAGATTAAATTCTCCATTTAGTCCCGTAATAATAATTGCAGGTACTTCGGTTATTAGCTGGATGAAGGATTTGTTTCTATTTTCCTTATGAAGGACAGTTAGAAAAATCCTATTCATAGTAAATCGGCTGGGATATCCCGAATTCCAATAACATTCAAAGAGCAAAAACAGATATTTTTTTCTACAAAGGAAAAAAAAAAGAAAGAAAAGAAACAGAAGTAAAACCTTATGTTCTGCATTCGAAAGTAGTAGAAATTTCCCCACTGCTGAGAAGGTCCTTGATGGTGTTTTGCTATGTACTGCTTATGGGCCCATTCCTGTCCAAAGAATGAGGAATACCAGACAAAAAGACAGCTACTATTTCAGTATATATTATTAAAAATTCATCTTTGAAAAAAAAAAAAATAGAATTAGATTAGTCACCTGCTTGTCTTCAGGGAGCGGGTATACATCGCCAAAGATTGTCACTCGTGCATTCGACAAGCCACTCCATCCAGGAATCNATCTATAATTTAGGTAAACCTGTACAACTAAGGTGCATCTTGGATCAGCTAACAAGTTCCGAGTGTGTATAGCCAATGGCGAGAATGACAAAATTGGATCTGCAAAGGGAAACATGTCAAAATAGCAAATTGATATCTGAGTTCCCTTTACATACTTAGTAGTGTTCACAATTCAAACATGGAACGTGAAAAAAAAATCGCTAGCAGCAGCAGGAAAGAACAAAAAAATAAATTGAAGTAATGTGATCAAAATATAAAGTCGTATACGACTGAATAAGTCTTTCAAACTTGTATTCCAGTACAATTATGCGGAAAGCCAAACCAGTTTTAACTGAAAAAATGATTTTCTGCAGGAGGATCTCATAAAACACGTGTGATTGAACATTGGTACTTCAATCAGAAAGCCATGAGTAGATTCTAAAAGAAATTACACTTCGTAATTACAGACTAAAGAGCAAAAGAAAGAAGCATTTAATTATCCATGGGACATGATACAACATAAACTGACAT